ATAGCTCAGACCCTCCCCCTTGGGTTCAATTCTGTGCTGGTAGGAAGGGACAGTGCAAGGTCCTCGTGGCCCAAGCAACTAAGGGACCCAAGCAACCCATTCATCAGGACCTGGAGAAGGAGCTGCCACTGCCTTATGTCCTTCCGGCACGATCAGCTCCCAGCCCATCCGCCTTGCTTGATACTCCACACACAAAAGCGGGAGATCTGAGCACCCTCCCTGGTAGCTAGATCAGTGTGCATGCTGCAGAGAGGGGAAACTGGAAGAATGAGTACCTCTAGTGGACGGTCCCAGATGGGGCCGTCCCGAGGGAGGGCAGAATACCAGCCAGAGCCTAGCCAGGCCCACCTGATCGGCTTGGCCGGGATGGACTCAGACTAGGACGGGCCAGGCTCTATGAAACTTGGCCCCGGGAGCCCATGGTCAAGATGAAGGTCGAAGGCCACCCAATGACTTTTATGGTAGACCCTGCAGTGGAGTACTCGGTGGTCACCACTCTGGTTGCCCCATTTAGTAACTGGAAGGCAACTGTTGTGGGAACAACAGGTGACCAGGCAGAGCCCCGGCCATTCTGCCAAGATCGGATATGCCAATTAGGGGGGCACCAGGTACACCATGAATTCCTCTACCTACTGGAATGTCCTCTCCCCCTTCTGGGAAGAGACTTGTTAGGCAAACTGGGGGCGCAAATCACCCTTGAACCCCAGGGGACCAGCCAGTCTGACTTTGAGTGAGCCAAAGGGGGGCCTGGTCCTGGCAGTCACACTTCCATGTGAGGAAGAATGGAAACTGCACACTGTCGAGAGGTCAGAGGAGAACCCACCAGAATTCCTGGATGCCTTCCCTATAGTCTGGGCAGAGACGAACCCCCCAGGGATGGCTAAGGCCCAAATCTGCAGACAGCAGGTGAGGAACCTGGGGTTCATCATCACCAAAGGACACCGATCCCTGGGACCGAAGAGAAAAAGGGTGATTTCCTCCATGCCCACTCCCGACACCAAGCGGAAACTCCAGGAGTTTCTCGGGGAGGCAGGCTTCTTCTGCATATGGATTCCCGGCTTCTTGGGCATAGCAAGGCCCCCCTATGGGGTCCTAACTGGGCCAGAAGATAGACCTCTTGAGTGAGATGATAGCCAAGACATGGCTTTCTGGGAAATCAAGGCACTGCTCCAAAGTGCCCCAGCACTAGGACTTCCAGATGTCACCCGACAATTCAATCTGTTCATTCGGGAAAGAAACAAAACAGCACTTGGGGTCCTCTCCCAGACCATGGAGCCTTGGAAGAAAGAGAGGAGAGAGAGAGAGGAGAGAGACAGAGATAGAGAGGAGAGAGAAAGAGAAAAAAGAGAGAAGAGAGAGACAGAGAGAGGAGAGAGACAGAGAGAGAGAAAGGAGAGAGACAGAGGTGAGAGACAGAGAGAGAGAGGAGAAAAGTCAGGGGCACCAGTGGCTCTCAAATGCCTGTTTAACCCACTAGCAAGGGCTGCTCTGTGAAAACCCATGGGTCACCATGGAAACTGTGCGTGGCCTTAACCCAGCCACATTTCTACCCACAGAAGAGGGAGTCCCGGACCACGACTGTGAGCAGGTGGTAGATGATGTGTTTGCTAGTCAGCCTGACCTCAAGGACTGTCCCCTCCCTAAGGCAGACTTAAACCTGTTCACTGATGGAAGCAGCTATGTCCATAATGGAGAGAGGTATGCAGGGTAGGCAGTCACCACCACCACTGAAGCGGTCAAGGCAGCCCGCTTGCCCAGAGGCTGGGCAGTACAACGGGCAGAATTACACGCCCTCATTCAGGCCTTGTGCCGTGTGGAAGGCAAAGTGGTCAATATTTACGCTGACTCCAAGTACACTGTTGCAACTGTCCACATACAAGGGGCGTTATACAAGGAAAGAGGGCTGCTGACAGCAGGAGGAAAAGGAATCAAAAATAAGGAAGAAATTCTCAGACTGCTAGAAGCAGTTTGGAAGCCCAAAGAGGTGGCTGTCATACATTACAAGGGCCACCAGAGGAACTGATCTTGTCTGTACAGGAAACCCGCTGGCTGACCCAGAAGCTAAGGCAGCCGCACTGAAGAAAGGGCCTGTGCAGACCCCGCGCACTTGTTCACAGTCACCCCTTGGCTCCGAGAGGATGTGGGGAAGCCGGAGTACTCTAAGGAAGAAAACCAGCGGGCACAGCAGGAGGGGGCAAAGCACAGTGCCAGGGGATGGTGGCCACTCCCTGACAACAGACCAGTGGTCCCTAAGAACTTGGCTCACACCATCGTTGCTGAGTGCCATGGTCTCACCCACCTAGGTAAACAGCTCTGGAGAGCTTACTCAACAGGTATGACCATAATGCAACCCTCCCCACACTCTGTGCTGCAGTAAGCAATCAGTGCCTTACCTCTGCTAAAAACAACCCCTCTCAGCGGCTGAAACCTGCCCCAGGGGTGCAACAGGTGGGCGGCTACCCCTCTGAGGACGTAGAGGTGGACTTCACTGAAGTCAAGCCCAGTAAAGGGTACAAATAACTACTGGTCCTTGTATGTACATACTGGGGCTGGGCTGAGGCACTCCCAACCAAGACAGAGAGAGCCCGAGAATTAGTGAGAGTCCTACTTTGTGAAATTGTTCCCCGGTATGGGATTCCACTCACCATACACAGTGACAGTGGGCCAGCATTTGTGGCGGAGATCATTCAAGCCCTCACCAGCGTGCTCAAGATTAAGTGGAAACTTCACACAGCCTACAGGACACAAAGTTCAGGAAAAGTGGTGCGCATGAATCGAACTCTGAAGGTTACACTAGTAAAGCTCTGTCAGGAAACACAGGCTTCCTGGTTAGATATGCTTCCCCTAGCCCTGCTGTGGTCACGGTGTACACTAGGACCTGCCGGCTACTCACCCTTTGAAATCCTATTTGGGAGGCCCCCCTCTGGTTAACAAAGTGAGGGGGGACCTCAGACAGCTAGGGGAAACAAGCGTGATGTCCCAGCTGCAGGCATTGGGGAAGGTGCTGTCCCAGCTCAGTCAGTTTGAAATAGAAAGAGCACCTATCTCCCTAGCCAATCCAACTTATCCCTTCCAACCTGGGGACCAGGTCTGGTTGAAAGATTGGAATAGGTCAGGTGCGGTGGCTCAAGCCTGTAATCCCAGCACTTTGGGAGGCTGCGGCGGGTGGATCATGAGGTCAAGAGATCGAGACCATCCTGGTCAATATGGTGAAACCCCGTCTCTACTAAAACTACAAAAAATTAGCTGGGCATGGTGGCGCGTGCCTGTGGTCCCAGCTACTCAGGAGGCTGAGGCAGGAGAATTGCTTGAATCCAGGAGGCGGAGGTTGCGGTGAGCCGAGATCGCGCCATTGCACTCCAGCCTGGGTAACAAGAGCGAAACTCCGTCTCCAAAAAAAAAAAAAAAAGGAAAAAAAGAAAGATTGGAATAAGGAGCCCCTTCAGCCTGTCTGGACAGGGCCTCATACTGTAACCCTTGTCACCCAAAATGCTCTCAAAGTTTCAGGAGTCGTTCTGTGGGTACATTCCAGAGCCAAGAGGGCCCACCCGGACACATCCCAGGACTGGTGGACTGCACATCAGACCCTTGGCACCCCACGAAAATCAGGCTGCAGGGCTCTGAATCCTGAGAACTCATCAAGCCCTACTGTAGCCACACAACCAGAAGCTGACTAGTCAAGGCATGGCCGAAGCTTGGGGAGCCTCCACTGAATCAGCAAATGTGGACTGAAATCTTAGTATTTGGAACTATTCTGACAGCATTTGTTGTTCTATTGTTGTGCGGTCATCCTTGTTGTCCCTTGAGGGACGTTCCTTGTCCATGTCTGGTGTAAAATGTCACTTCCTGTTTTGCTATTAATAATCTTCTTGGCCCTTGCCGTCAGCCCTTGTCTAATTAACATACTTTGGTGCTTCATTGAAGCCATGGTCATTAGAAAAACAAATGCTCAGTTGCTGGCCCTCAGTGGGTACAAGCCGCTAAATACAGGCAGCAGGGTGTAAAGGTGATGCTCCCTAATATCCATAAGAGAGCATCAGAGGGGGGATGAAGTGGAAGTTTTGCCCACGATTTCTTTAGCACATAGTCAGCAACTTTCCTATTTTAAAACTATTAAAAAAAAAAAAAAAACTTAACAGTTTCAAAAATAGAATGTAAACAAAAGACCTGAAGGTACACTTGACTAGAGAGAATATACAGATTGCAAAGAAACACATGGAAAGGTGTTCAAGGTCATTAGTCGTCAGCGAAACATAAGAGCCATGAGGTATCAGCACACACCTATCAAGGTGGCTGAGATAAGATCACAGTGATCACACTGAAGCCTGGTGAGGATGCACGAAAACGGGATAGCTTCTAGAAAATGGCTTGACAGGTTTAAAAAAAACAAACTAAACCTGCAACAAGCATAGACCCCCACAATAGCACCCCTGGGCTTTGTCCCAGAGAAATGAAAAGTGATGTCCATGTGAAAACCTGTACATGTGTCATAACCCAGATCTACAAATACAGATGTCCTCCAACAGGTGAACAGTTAAACAGACTGTGGTACACCCGCAGCATGGAACACTACTCAGAAGTAAATTGGAATTAACTATTGATAAATGCAACAATGGGATGAATCTCCAGAGAATGATGATGCATGGGAAAAAAGCCAATTCCACGATTTTATGATTCCAGTAGACTGCATTCTTGAAATGAACAGATTATGGTAGTGGAATACAAGTCTGTTATTGCTGGGGTTGAGGCTGGGGCAAGCCAGGTAAAGATACACATAACCACCTTGTGCAGCTTCTTACAACTACATGGGAATCTACAGTGTCTCAAGATTAAAAGTTTAATTTAAAAACCAAAATGAACGTAAATGCTTTATTATTATTATTATTATTTGAGAAAGAGTCTCAATTGTCACCCTGACTGGAATGCGGTGGCGCAATTTTGGCTCACCACAACCTCTGCCTCCTGGGTTAAAGGGATTCTCATGCCTCAGCCTTCTAAGTAGCTGGGATTACAGGTGCATGCCACCACACTCAGCTAATTTTAAAATATATTTTTAGTAGAGACGAGATTTTGCTATGTTGGCCAGGCTGGTCTCGAACTCCTGACCTCAAGTGATCTGCCCACCTCAGCCTCCCAAAGTGCTGGGAGTACAGGCGTGAGCCACTACACCTGGCCACAAATTTTTTTTTAAATACCTAGAGCCAAAGACTCAGCAACTCCACTCAGAAGCAGCATTTCAACAGCTACACTCCCACATGTGACCCAGTAGAGGGGTTCAGTTGTTACTTACAAATCTTTTTTTTTTTTTTTAAGATGGGGTTTCACCATGTTGGTCAGGCTGGTCTTGAACTCCTGACCTCAGGTGATCCGCCCGAGTGGCCTCAAAAGTGCTTGAATTACAGGCGTGAGCCACCGCACCTGGCCTTACTTACAAATCTTGGAAATGCCTCAGGTGTCCATCAGAATAACAATGACTGAATAAAGTTCATTTTATGTTTGATCTTTGCAAAAAAATAAAAATAAAAATAAAACTGCCCCTGTTTTTCTAATAACTGCCTCCTTCTGCTTCTGTACCTCAGGTTATTGTTTACCAGCTAAAAACCTTCAGGAAAACTGCTGCGTCGTCTAAAACCTGCTGCATTGTCTAAAGCTCTGAGTTACTTACCCTGCCCGTTCCCCTATAAAAACTGTGTACTTTTCTTAGCCGGGGTCCAGATTTTTGGGTGTGAACCCTTCTGGGCCGGCTGTCATAATAAAGTGTGTTCCTCCGTTCCCCTGAGTGCCGCTTGGGGTTTTTGTCAGCTAAAATTTTC